CCTTCCTTCCTTCCTTCCTTCCTTCCTTCCTTCCTTCCTTCCTTCCTGTATTCAACAAAATTACAGAGTTGAAAGAGATCTTGCAGGTCTTTTAGTCCAAACCCCTGCTCAACACCTTATATACCATTTCAGACAAATGGCTGTCTAATTTCATTTGCAAAATGTTGAATTCTTTACATTGAGCTTGCAAATGGCTGCTCTTTCAGAATCCAGAACAACCTTGCAGTAAAAAAAAAAACCCGGCCTTCTTAAGTACTATTCTGGGCTGTCTCCGCTTTCAGTCCTGTTTGTCCCTTGTCCCCAGGAATTTTTTTTTTTTAATAAAATCAGTGTCCAACTGTTTGGTCATAGGGTTTGTTTCCATAAACACTGTATCACTCAACAAGACCTGGTTATGTATTGCACTACCCAAGTAATAAGACTAAAGGAACATTTGCTTATGTATTGTTTACAGAAAAAACAAGCAGTAATTTAGGAAGTGGGTTAGAGGACTTTTCCAGCATGAACTTAAAGGAAGTGCACAAGTTTTGGAAAAATCAAATGATCTATGCATCTTCTCGAAGCAAATTCCTTTTCAAATAGAGCAGGCATATTTTATTGTGTGTATGTGTCTTTATATTTCCTTGAAAATCTAAATTCTCATCAATGGCCCTGGTAGCTTGGGCGCTCTCACATTGGAAGGCAGGGAGGTGTCCAGATTGAAAAATGCTGAGTTAGAGAGACCATTGGTCTGACTAGCAGGGTTGCTATCATGGACTTCTGTAGGAACATCCTGTGTTATTTTCCTTCCCCCTTGCTACTTCCAATGCAGACACCACTGTTTTGTTTACTTATGGCAAACACAGTGTGTGATGTGCAAACCCAGGCATACTAATTTAATACTAATTTAGTCCTTGACTTATGACCGACCACAGTTGAGCCCAACATTTCTGTTGCTAAGCAAGAAAGTTGTTAAGTGAGTTTTGGCCCTATACTACCATCTTTCTTACCACCGTTGTTAAGTGAATTGCTGCAGCTGTTAGGTTTGTAACACGGTTGTTAAGTGAATCTGGCTTCCCCATTGATTTTACTTGATAGAAGGTGATGACCCCAGGACACTACAGCCGTCATAAATACATGCCAGTTGCCAAGCATCTCAATTTTGATCACACAGGGATGCTGCAATGGTCGTAAGTGTGAAAAATGGGTCATAAGTCCGTTTTTTTCAGAGCTATGGTAACTTTGAACAGTCAGTAAAAAAATGATTGTAAGTCAGTAATAGAATAGAATAGAATAGAATAGAATAGAATAGAATAGAATAGAATAGAATAAAATAGAATAATAGAATAGAATAGAATAGAATAGAAAATAGAATAGAATAGAAAATAGAATAGAATAGAATAGAATAGAATAGAATAGAATAGAATAGAATAGAATAGAATAGAATAGAATAGAATAGAAAAGAATAGGAGTTGGAAGGAACTACCTGTATATGGGAAATCAGGCTAGAATAACTTTTAGCAAATCAGCATTAAGAAATCTTAGTTTTAAGTGTGAAGTGGAGAATAATAATGGATTTCCATATTTTTGTAAGATCAGATTGCCTTCTTTATTTATTTTTTGCAAAGTTTAGAAATAAGTTAGTCTTTTTCCATTGCTGGACTGATCTTACTTCCTTAAGCAAGAGCCAAATACATATTGCAAACATGCCGGTTAGTTTAAGGATACCAAGGTCAGGTTGACACACAGTGCTGATTGTTTTTTCTTAGCACAGTGTCTGATCCAAATGGGTGTTTGTTTATCAAACTTGCATGCCACCCATCTACCAGTGACTTTGGGAGGGTTAGCATTTCACAACACAGCATTGAATGTGACCCAGACCACTGTGGTTTAGTCAAACCATTAAGGCTTTCAAATCCTGGCTTTCTGTAATGCGTGCATCAGACCAGTACACTTCACCATGACAATAAATTGTCTAGTGATGAACTTTATCTAAATAATAGTACAAAGACTCAGTTATGAGCCCAGGATCCAATCTCTTTCATAAGGAAACAGGTTTCCTGGCTATCTGCCTGATTAGGAAATACTTTGGACAGCTAATTGCCTCCTACAAGCTCCCCGCTGACTTTTCAGCTGATTTGGTATTTTTCTATTTTAACAAAGACCTTTTATAATTTTGTGGAAAACCAGCAAGATGCTAATCTCTTTCAAGATAAAAGTACTTTGTAGTCAAGGTAGCTATAATCAAACTGTTTACTTGATTTATATTGAAGAAGTTGAATTCAGCAGGCCTAGCTTCACCTTTTCATTTCATTCAGTATTATGTAGAGAAGGGGAATCCAAGCTTGGCAACTTTAAGACCTGTGGACTTCAACTTCCAGAATTCTGGCTGGGGAATTCCAGGAGTTGAAGTCCACAGGTCTTAAAAATTGCCAAGATTGGACACCCCTGCTGTATTGTAGAGCAATAGAAGAGAGACAGAGAGAGAAAGATGTCACAATCAACCAATTCCCACTTTGATTCTTAACTTCCCCAGCAGAGGTTCTTTCCATAAATTTGAACTTCCTCTTTCCTCTGTTTTGGATGTGTGTTTTTCTAGCCCTTGTTTAAACATGACATTTGACCTGGAAAGTTACAGCTAACTCATACTTCATGGTCATGGTTTGAAGAAAATTTGCAGGCGGTGGTTTAGGGACAAAATTCTAAGCAGGAACAAATTTCATGCCAAACTGCAATTGAAGTAAAACAGAAAGATGAAGTCATAGTTTATTTAGTTAAGGTACTTCCATTAATGATCATCTTCACATTACTATCTCTTTTCTTTTTTTTTTTAATTCAGTACTGTTCATTTCTGCTACTTTTGTTTGATGTGTACCACAGAATAGGTGTATCATATTTTCTTTCTCTCTTTACAGCCAGCCAGAAGTGTGGTATGGAGACTAGCGATTTAAGAGACCTTCTGAGGCAGATGCCCGAGACTCACTATTGTCTCCTTAAGTATCTTTGCCACTTCCTGAAACGGGTTGCCGAGCATCATTCTGAGAACAAGATGAATGTTTCCAACCTTGCTACTGTTTTTGGACCAAACTGTTTTTGGTAAACTCATAATTTCTTTCCCTCCAGTTATAGGCCAGACCTGATGTAGGGACCCCAGAGAATCAATGCTAGACAAATGTTGAGACTCTAGAAAGAGTGCAGAGAAGAGCAACAAAGATGATTAAGGGACTGGAGGCTAAAACATATAAAGAACGGTTGCTGGAATTGGGTTTGTCTAGTTTGATGAAAAGAAGGACTAGGGGTGACATGAGAGCAGTGTTTTGATATTTCAGAGGTTGCCACAAAGAAGAGGGAGTCGAGCTATTCTCCAAAGCACCCGAGGGCAGGACAAGAAGCAATGGGTGCAAACTAATCAAGGAGAGAAGCAACCTGAAACTTAAAAGAAATTTCCTGACAGGGAGAACAATTAACCAGTGGAACAACTTGCCTCCTGAAGTTGTGAATGCTCCAACACTAGGAATTTTTAAGAAGAGATTGGACAACCATTTGTCTGAAATGGTATAGGGTTTCCTGCTTGAGCAGGGAGTTGGACTAGAAGACCTCCAAGATCCCTTCCAACTCTGTTATTCTGTTCTATTTCAAGTACAAAATAGTATGTTACTGTAGAGGCCACAGGGAATGGCCTTCCTCAAGAGGAACAGCCACTACTAAGGCAGCAATCAGACAACTGCCCCTTCTCAGAAATGAAAACATCTCAGACAAGCCATTCCTTAGTTCACACCAAGATAAAGGGAGGGAGGTGGGCAACACATTCAGACTTGCAAGAGTCTGTTATTATAACTGTTACAATAAAAACAGCCCTGCCACTTATATGGCATTGGTTTCTTAGTCTGGCCTACATAATAGGGCTGACAGCTATCTAGAGAATGGCCTGTTTGATCTTTTTGTGTGTCTAGCGGACACGTTTTATATCAAAAATGCTTGAAGGCAAGCATTCCAGAGAGGAAAACGGGATCTTAAAAAACATTTTATACTTTAAAACATCTCATTGTTTTGTCAAACATTATTTCATTTCAGGGATATCTGACCCCAAAACAACTGTGAATGGCTTATATTTTATAGGATTTATATCCCTTTCTTTAACATTTGGAACAGACTTAAAATAGCTAAATTTGTGCTATGAGGACATATTGCATACAAGGGTAATTTAGGCACTGTTTGAATCTCTTTTGATGAATAAACTGCTGTGATTTATGCATTGGTTTCTTCACATGCACTTATTATGGCACTATATTTTATAAGTCAGGCAAAATCCATTTTGACTTTGTACGAATGTAGTACAACAGAAACAATAAATCCTATATTCTGATGCAAAAAAACAGCAATATTTATATTATCAGGATGCTGTTAGGAAAAAAAAAAGACTATTTATTTGATTTTTATCCCACCTTTATTTCTTTTATAAGTAACCCACTTAATACTCCTTTCTCCCCCTATTTTCTCCACAACAACAACCCTGTGAGGTGGGTTGGGCTGAGAGAGAGTGACTAGCCCAAAGTCACCCAGCCAGGTTTCATTGTTAAGATGAACTACATCTCCAGTCTCCTGGTTTCTAAGCCAGCACCTTAACCACTAAGCCAAACCTCTTGATTTCCACTGGCTCTTCTCTGTCCTTGTTCAAAAAAATTCAGTGAGGTTAGAATTAGTTTACTCCTTTCACAATCAAACAAGAATCTTCTTCTTTTTAGCTATTTTAATGCTGCTCTTTGTAAGTGTTTGTTCCTTTTCTTTGCCTCTCTGTAATGGTGTTTTTCCTTGAACCCTGTGATTCCTTGTTTACAATCCTGCGGAATCTGAAGAAGGTTGAGCAGTGGGCAGCAATGAACAATCTCTCAGGGATTTTATTTGTGCCACGTGCACAAATAACATTGTTGCTTGTGGTTTGATATTTTCTGGCACAGTCTTTTTATTCTTCTTCTTTTTCTTTAATAAAAAGCAAAGAGAAATGTTCAAAAGAATTTAATGTTCTTCTACATTGAATGTTTTCAGGTAAACTTTTGCAAGGTTTCATGTTTTGGCACTTTGTTCATTCAAAGTGTGAACAAGTAACTCAGTGATGGAAGACTTGTTTTGAATAGTTTGGATTTTAGGATCCTACACAGAAAGGTCGAACGAGAACTTGGGGAGCAGAACTCAGGAACAATCAATGCTGAATGATAGGTACTGGTGGTGTCATTCACTTTGATGTAGCCTCGTGCTGTTAACTATTTATGTAGAAGTCTCTGTTGAATTTGCTGTTGTTTAGTTGCTAAGTCATGTCAAATCTTTGCAGCCCCGTGGACTATAGCAGTGGTCCCCAACCTTTTTTGTACCAGGGACCAGTTTCATGCAGAAACACTTTTTCAAGGACCGGGGGGAGGGGGGAGGAGTCCGAGTTTGGTGGTTTGCTTGCAGACGTTTCATTACCTGACTAGGTAACATCTGATGTTGTTACCTAGTCAGGTAATAAAATGTCTGCCAGCAAACCACCAAGTTCAGGGAGCGCCAATGCCTCCTCATTACAACCCTGAGCGACAGATATTCTCTTCTATTGGGACATTTAAAACGGAGGGTTTCAGCTGCAGATTCAGGAACTGCGCCGGGCTGAGGAGCGCCTTCAAAACTGAACGCTGGGCGGCGGCGGCCCATGGCTGTCTCCGCGGCTCAGGACAAGTCCCTGCAGGATGGCTGAGAAGCCCCGCCTCTTGGCCCCGCCTCCCTCAGCCTCATCCCTCAGGTGTCTGCCTCGTTCCTCTCTCAGTCGCTCTCTCGCTCCTCCACTAGCCCAGGAAGAAACCACTTCAAAGAAGCCGGCAGGGTGGCTTTTCCTGTCAGCGCAGCTCCTCCGAAGCACCCGTTCACCCCCACCCCGCCGCCCGCGGTTCAATCCAGTGCTCCGTTCTGCCTGCCTGCCTGCCTGCCTTCGTTTCTGGTTGTTTCGGAGCAGCTTCGGCTGAGTAAAAGAGGCGAATAGTTATTATTCTCAGCCGAAGCTGCTCCGAAACAACCAGAAACGAAGGCAGGCAGGCAGGCAGAACGGAGCACTGGATTGAACCTGGATTGATTGGCGGCGGGGTGGGGGTGAACGGGTGCTTCGGGGGAGCTGCGCCGACAGGAACAGCCACCCTGCCAGCTTCTTTGAACCAGTTTCTTCCTGGGCTGGTGGAGGAGCGAAAGAGCGACTGAGAGAGGAACGAGGCAGGACGAAACCGAAGCCACTGAGCCGGAGAGCAGGACAGGCTTTGGTTGCTTCCTCCCTCCCCTTCTTTCATTTGTGTCCTTGATCCCTGATCCCAGCAGCATTCATCGAAGGCGAAGAAAGCCACCATTTTTATTTTATTTTTATTTTCTTTGCGGCCCGGTGCAAAGTGATCCACGGACCGGGACCGATCCGCGGCCCAGTGGTTGGGGACCCCTGGACTATAGCACACCAGGCTTCCCATGTCCTCCACTGTCTCCCAGAGTTTGCCAAAATGCATGTTCATTGTGTTGATCACATTATCTAACCATCTCATCCTCTGCTGTCCCTTCTCCTTTTGCCTTCAATCTTTCCCAATACTAGGGCCTTTTCCAATGAGTCCTCTCTCACCTTCAAACACTACCTAGAACTGAAAATTGTGTTATTTGTTTGTTTTTATATAGACCTATGGTATAAATTATGTTCACTTCTTGCAAAAACTATAATTGTTTTCTTTAAGCCTTCCTTTACAAGCAGCAAATGTTTGTTTTGGGTGCATAGGGTAAAATAATCACTCTGGGCAAATAAAATAATGAAATTATTCAGGAATAATTTTAATGGAGTATTTTAATGGAGTAAGTTCTAAGTATTTGGCTTTAGAAGTGATCTATTTCCGTGTCAGTAATTAGAGATAATTATCACAGCTGATTTAACGTGTTATGTAATGACAGCATTTATTGAGATGGGGCAGTTAAAGGGAAGATTTAAATAATAAAGCAGTATGATTGGAAAAGAAAAGAGTAGTGGTCTCTCAGAGTCTGAAATATGGGTTAACTAATAAAATAAAGTATCAAGAGGAATGTTTTGGGAGGAACAAGTGAATCATGGGTTAAATTGAATGTTGAACTAGAAGAAATACAGGTAATCCTTAAGTTATAACCCCAATTGACCCCAAAATTTATGTTGTTAAGTGAAACATTTGTTAAATTAATTTTGCCCCATTTTATGACCACAGTTGTTAAGTGAATCACTGCAGGTGTTAAGTTAGTAATACAGTTGTTAAGTGAATCTGGTTTCCCCATTGACTTTGCTTGTCAGAAGGTCACAAAAACTGATCACACAATCCTCTTTAAGTGGTTTACAAAGTCAACATATTGCTGCCATAATCTGGATCCTCATTTTACCAATTTCCAAAGGATGGAAGGCTGAATCAACTTTGAGCCAGTGAAACTTAAACTGCTGGAAGTTGGCAGTCAGCAGAATTAGCCTGCAGTACTGAATTCTAACCACTGCGCCATCATGGCTCTTATGAGTACTGATTTATTATTACAACATTGATTCCCACCTCTTGTGAAACAATCCCCCTCAAAAAAAATTTAAACTAATAAATCTATTTGCAAATTATTGACTTGTCTTCTATACATTATATAAGCGACAAAATAGCTAACTGGAAGAATAATAATATGAAAATATTAATATAGTTCTCAAAGAGAATGTTGGCATGAAGTCTGAAACAAGACAGCATTAAATTTCCTCAGTTAATTATCCTTTTCATTTTGTGGCTCCAATTTAGGCAAATGTCTTAGCAAAATTATGTTGTCCTCCATCTATGTCTATATACTTTGCCTCCCCTTTTTTCCCCATTCCTCATTCGACTTACTTGTTGTAAAATTGCCAGGCATCTAATTGCAAAAAAACAGCTCTGGGGTAAATACAAGAGCTTAATTGCACCCTTGTTTGAGCTTCGTCATATCCCTTAATCCTGCTTAATGATTTTAGTCATACTCCCTTTTTTTTTTAGAGATAGTGCTGGACAATATTTAACTACAAAATGCTGCCACTCTGGTCTGTGACTGGACATGATTCACCAGAGATTATAATG